CTGCAGGCTTGGGCCGCCACCCAGGAGAGATTCCCATGCTGCCCAGCTGATTGGCAGAGCGCCCGGCAGCAGGTGTTCCTACTGGTGGTGCCCATCTGCCCATGCCTTGTGCACACAACAAAGTTTACTGCAGGCTGGGGCCGCCACCCAGGAGAGATTCCCATGCTGCCCAGCTGATTGGCAGAGCGCCCGGCAGCAGGTGTTCCTACTGGTGGTGCCCATCTGCCCATGCCTTGTGCACACAACAAAGTTTATTCTGCACGTGGATGGGAAAAGTTAGAGGGAACATTGGTCAATTTTTTATTCGTTCCTCAATCCCACCAGGCTGGGTGGCGCCCTAAGGTGAGTCAGTGTGAAGGTGGCAGTCCCGCCCTCAGCCCTTTGCATGTCATCTCTGTTTCCACCCTGTTTTTCTGTCCCTGCTATGGCGCCGCATCCTGGTCCCGGCCCTGCCATTCAGAGCAGCCGGGGATAGCTCCCCTGCTGGAGGGCTGGGACTACTTCCTGGATGTTGTTCTAGATTGGCATCAGCCCCCCTCTGCCCTTGCCGTTGTGGAAACAGCAGAGCACCCCCGGTTGTGCCAGGTCAGGGTGAACCCACAGGGCACGTACCAGGGCAGGGAGAGGACGGCACCTAATCTGGAGACGGGAGTTTGAAATTGCAGGGTATCCCCCTTCACCATCCACCTCCAGTGAGGGGGCTGTGCCAGGAAGCCCCTTGCTAGACCACGGGCGTACAAGCAGCTTGTCCTGCCTCTGCCATAGCCTGCGATGGCCCAAGAGTCCTACCGTGCAGGGCTCCAACAGGCCAGCGGGCACCCCAGGCCCTGCATGGGGAGATGGGGTTTGGTGTAAACTGCAGTTCCTGCAGGGAACACGGGGCACCACGTGCTCACTTGCTTTGCTTGTGCTGGGCCCAGGCCTGCAGACTTCCTGGGAGACGGGCCCATCTCCTTGCCAGGCCCCTTGCATCAGCCCTTCGCTGCTCCCACTAATCCCAGCGCCTTGTGCTCCTGCAGCTGGATTTCTCCATGCGGCAGGTCCTGGTGCTGGGCCTGGATGGGGCTGGCAAGAGCAGCGTTCTCCACTACATGGCCAGCGAGGCCGCCAAGGACCGCACAGCACCCACCGAGGGCTTCAACTCCGTCCAGCTGGACGCAGGCGGCTTCCAGATCGACCTGCTGGAGCGTAAGTGGCCCTGGCCTCCGTGGGGAACTTGTCAGCTTGCTCGCAGGGTTGGCCAGAGAATGCCAGCGCCGGGCTGCCTGCGGATGATCCGCCCGCACTTCAGGCCCATTGTGTGAGGGCTGCCTAGTGTGACTGGGGGTGCCGAGGCCCCTGGGCACCACTTCTCCCTGTGGCAGGAGCGAGTTCCGTCCCTTCCGCTGCCATTTCACGAAGCACCACGGCCCCCTCCCTTCCCCAGGTTAAGCCTGGGATGCAGGGCCCCAGAGGGAACCACCAGCCCCTCCGGTCCCTGTTGCTGGGCTGGCTGAGGACCTGACTTCTGGCTCTTTGTGTGTCAGTCGGCGGCAGCCAGAACCTGCGATTTTACTGGAACCAGTACCTGAGCCAGGCCCACGTGCTGGTGTTTGTAGTGGACTCTGCGGATGGGCCACGCCTCCCCACCGCTCGCCAGGAGCTGCACTGCCTGCTGGCTGAGGATCAGCGCTTGCCCTTGGTCGTCCTGGCCAATAAACAGGTGAGAAACTCAGCAGCTGGTCCTGCTGGGACCTTGTGAGGCTCCGGCTGCAAAGGCTTTTTAAAGCCCCAAGGCAGGGCTGCTTTGGCACAAAGAGGGGGGTGACGAGCAGCCTAAGAACCTGCCCAGACCGGAGTTTAGTTGAAGCAGAGAGTGAGACCTTGAGCTTTGCAGAAACGCAGTGGTAAGCGACATGAGAGAGCTGCAAGGACCGTGCCGGAGACGCCAGCAGCTGCATGCGTGCGTGGCCCCAGCTGAGCCAGGCCGCCTGTGGAAAGGGAGCGGCCCGGGTTAAGGTCCACAGTGACTTGGCAGGTAGGCTCAGGGCGGGGCGACACTGTTCAAACCCAGCCGGTGCTGGTTCCTCCTAGGACAAGAGCGACGCGCTGAGCGTGGCCGAGCTGCACCAGGAGCTGGCCCTGCACACGCTGAACGGTCAGAGGGAGTTCTTCCTGCTGCCCACGAGCGCCACCCACGCTGCGCTGGCCACCGCCACCGGGATCTGGCGCGTCAAGTCTCTGCTGGTGGAACTGCTCTCCCAGCTCTGACGTGCTCGTCGCGCCCGAGACGGGCCGGCTGGACGGACCCTGCTGCACTCGTGTTTGCCTGGCCCAGAGGCGCTGGGCTGCAGACGGCTGGCTTTCTGCTGTCGGGCCAGAGCTGCTCTGCCTCCATCCCCTATCGGGAGATGCTGTGAAGTGGCACCCCCTTGGGCTCAGGCAGGCTGCCCTCAGCACCCAGAGGGCTGGCCCAGCCACGGACCTCAGGGAGATGGAAGAACAGCAGGGGCAGGTGGGCAGCACCCAGCATGGGGCACGGGATGCACCAGGCCCTACAGCGCCCCAGCCCAAACAGGCAGCTGCGCCGGTGGCTGGTGGCCTCTTGTGACACTGGGCTGGCCCCGTGGCCTGCAGACAGGCCACTCTCTGCATCTGGCACAGGGAGGGCAGGAGATGGAGCCATAGGGACATCTGCAGTGAGGCTCTAGGCAGGAATGGTCTGTCCTTGGCGTGAAGGGCTCCTTCCCTGGGGTTAATGGGCTGCTGCCTGCTTGCCGGTGCAGACACGACCGGCCGCCCTTTGCAGGGCTGCTGGGAACTGGAGTCAGGCGCTTTCAGTACCGACAAGGAGGCCGGCGGCACTTCAA